CACGGTGCGTCCGTGAAAGCAACTTTTTGGACACTTTTTTGGACAAATCGTCGTGTCCAAGTTTTGTTGGGTACTAACCTGCAAATACCCAATTAGGGTGTTTTAAGCATATTCAGCGACACTTCTTATTGGGTATACCCAATAAGCAAAAAGTACCCAATAAGTACAATCTTGGCATGAAAAATACCCAATAAATGCACTCTCGTAAACACGGACGTACAGACGGACGGACAGACGGACGGACGGACGGAATTAACGATTACTATATACCCTCCCGCTTTTCAAGCGGGGGGTATAATAAAGATTCTGTGAAAGTTTCATCAAATTTCATTCAGTGGTATAAGAGGAGTTGCGGATAAGAGATGGGTACCTCAAAGCGTAACAGACGGACGGACGGACGGACAGACGGACGGAATTAACGATTACTATATACCCTCCCGCTTTTCAAGCAGGGGGTGTAATTAGGTCATTATTATACCCCCCGCTTGAAAAGCGGGTGGGTATCTGGTAATCGGGATTTCCGTCCGTCCGTACGTCCGTCCGTCTGTTACGCTTTATCTCTTATCCGCAACTCCTCTTATACTACTGAGTGAAATTTAATGAAACTTTCACAGAATCTTTATTACATATTGCCATTGTGCACCTCCTATTTTACCTTTTTATTCAACACGTATTTTAGGTTTCCCATAGCAAAACATGGACATTGCCGTTATATTTTTACCTATGACGTCACATAATAGAAGCTTCTGGATAACATTTGATAGGACGAGTTATACCTCTTTACACATTACCGTCAAACAATATATAGCAACACATGGACATTGTGGGAGGCGGGGGGTATCATTTAGTGAGCGCATTGCTCACAGTACCTCTAGTTTTTTTTTTTAAATTCATCCATGGCAATATTACCTAAAAAAAAAAATGGGGCAAGTATTTAACATGAATACAATATATGCATACTGTATACAGGGAAATTTTCGCCCCCGTTTTATTTTCGCCCCATTCGCCCTACTCACAAGAGGGCGAAAATAAAACGGGGCGAATGTAAGAAACACGGTATGATTTCTTAAAAAGAATTGAAATTGTGCGAATTTAAAACGGGGGAAAATATTTTCCAAGTGAAAGGGCGAAAATAACACGGGACGAAAATAACCATGTATACAGTATTTTTTTTTCTCAAAATAAAGTGATTAATATTGAGAAAATTACTATGTTTTTCATTAATCAAAGGCAAATAAGGAAAAAAATTGAAACACTATCACAAATTTCTTAACTTAAGGTATTTCCATCCTCCTATGATGTCATAGGTTATTGCAAAAACTGTTATTAATTTGAATTTATACCTAATATAACAATATCTTTTGGAAGAATGCTTTTCAATAGGTGTATTGATAAACATTGTTAAGTAAAAGAATTTTTTTTAAAAGGCATATTCTATTTATTTAATCAATTATTCAGTCTTTTAAAATATTTACAAGGGCAATATCTCCTTCTCAGGTACAGTGGCAGATACGTTATTGTTGACAACTTACACGCACGATCACGTTACACGAACGATTCCGCACGATTAACGCACGATAAAACCTGTTACACGAATGATCCTTCACGCACACGATTCTACACGTTACACGATCTTACACGATTGCTAACGCAAACGCACGATTCTTCACGCAAAATGGTTTCAAATTAATTAAGAATGAATATTTTCAAAACGAAAAAAAGGCTTAATACCAATTTTAAGGTTCAAATAATTATTTTTATTATTTCATTGACTGAAAAAATACTTTAAAAATGAATTGGATGTTTCTGGAAGTACATACATCTATGTAAGACTTATCAATCATTTTAAATTAAAAAGAGTTATTTACCTATGTATGCCTTATCAATAATTTTAGATTAAAAAGAATAATTTGGACACGTATATCTCCGTCTAAAAAAGACTGAATTTTTCCCTTTTACGGATAGAACATTTACATGTAGGCGGACCGTGAATTTTGATTGAATTTGATTTCTTTATGCCCAGATTGATTGATAAGATTGAAAAAAGGAATTAAAATGAATTTAATCATTTTATGCGTAAAATCCATCTTTCCATTTGTTTATCTCTGAAATCCAACAGTTATTTAACAAATCATTTTTTATTAAGGAATTACAAATTGAAAATGATTGAAAGTAACCTCCGTCGATAAACAAGCGATAAACACCGGTACAGGAAACTCTAACAGTCATGTCGCGTAAAAGTACATTCGTCGACAAAATATTAATAATAATAATAATAATAATCTTTGTTCAGGTAAAGGCATTGAGCAATGTACAACAACATTTAAGTGTGAGTATTAAATCAGTATAATAATTTATAAATAAATAAATAAATATACATAATTTAAGAGATCAGTTATAAAACTAGTTGACTTATAAATCATATTTTTATATAATTCAAATAAATATATTATATTAAATATGCCTAAACCCAAGGATAGCCCATGAAAGCCAGTATGGCTTATTTCCAATGGAATCCTTTTACATGTAACAAAATTACTGGCATATGACATATATAATATAAACTATAAATAGTATACTAACTAAAAACGAGATTGATGTATGTATTGGGAAATGTTTATTTATTTATCTGTAAAAATATCAATTTTGATGTATTTATTTAAAAAATATCTTGACCATAATTAATTATCAGTAAACACAATGAATATCAAAGAAAAAAAAGTCACGCTATTTGCATTGATAAGAACATGACAATGTACGACTTACTATATTAATTATTAACAGTGATAATTAGTTCGTTCCGCTTTAAATTATGTGAGTTTCCTTCATTTATCTTATTTTGATTTAAACAAGAAATATACAAGCGAAATGCATATTAAACAAAAACATTCCATTAAAAACTTACAAAACGAACTTTTCACGTTTCTTAACGCACGATCACGCACGATTAAAACCGCAAACGATTGAGTCTGATACACGCAAGATCTCGCACGTTACACGAACGATCACGCACGATACACGAACGATTCTACACGATTGGTTTGTCAACAATAACGTTGCAGCTACTGTATCTTCATCCAGGTATTTTCTGTATTATACTTCTAATGTAAAAAGGTTCTTTGATATTTACAATTCAAAAGTACTTTATAATTAGCAAGTATTTAGGAACTTTCAGCATCAGAATTACGCACTTGAACCAGTTTTTATATAATTGTCAGTAGTATAAGGGGTCTGGCCGGGCGGGTCAACTGAGTGCACTTTTGGGGCTGAGGGGGATAGGCGGGTCAACGGAGTGCAGCCCCTCGGGGGGATAGGCGGTTCAACGGAGTCTAGCCCCTGGGGGGATAGCCGGGTCAATAGAGTGCAGCCCCTGGAGGGGATAGCCGGTTCAATTCAGTACATATAATCCCCCCTAAATACGGGGGGTGTGTTTACACTGTGTTTACATTGGTACGCTGCTGCTACGACCTGTTGCATCATCTTTTTATATCTGTTGCATCATCTTTTTATATCTATTGCATCATCTTTTTGATACCTGTTGCATCATCTTTTTATACGTGTTGCATCATCTTTTTTATACTTATTGCATCATCTTTTTATACCTGTTGCATCATCTGTAAGGGGGCCGTGTGCAAAAAATAGGTTGGACTTACTTTTTGATCTTACTGTGTACGTTTCTGTACACTGTCTAGGCAGCGATCTACCTATAGATGCATTGTGACGTCATAAGCTTGCCAGGGACGTCATGTTAGCCCTTCACAAGCCGCGATGGCTGCTTATTTTGACACAACAATACAGACTTTCACAGCGCTGGAGACTAATCATGTAAACAAAACAACTATTTCAGTACCAAAACGTCTGAACAGGTGAATCCTGGATCAGCCTAGATGATATTTCACCGGATTATTTATAGTATGAATAATTCTATACTGAGTAACCGGGTTCCCTGGTAAGTTTTAACAAATTTTTCTTCATACATTTTCTATGAAGGTCATATTTGTATTCATCCATTATTACAGTGTTAAATACCTAATGTTTATTACATTTATATAAACACTGCACTTATTTACCCTAAAATACTCTAGGACACTAAGAGATTCTCAAAATGCTGATAAATCTTTTTGCTTGATTTATGATTATATTGTCTCAGATTCCTTTTATCGGATCAGTATTCTAAATATTCTTATGGAGAGACTCATAGCATATCTTATAAAATCCAAATTCTGATACATGCCTTTACAATAAATAAAGTGATATTCTCAGTTGTTATTTCTAATATCTCTATGAATCTTTAATCACAGTGACCAAAAGAATGATATGGAGATAATCACTCAGATCATATTATGCCAATAAATCTTTTCTCTTAGATAGATCTTTTTTTAATGAAATATACAGAATCTTTTAGTTTTCTTTGTCACTCATACTTTTACATTCTGGTGCAACAGTGGCCCAGTGAAAGTGGGAAAAACTCAGTCTGAGAATCTCTGTAAATTTATAACATGTGTGTCCTCCCCCTTTTTTAAACCTTCATGTATATACATGTATGTATTTTATTTAGTCAGTGATTTCAAAAATCTACATGTAAAATATATATTGAGTACATTATAAGTAAATGTACATGATTTAAAAACCCTGGATATTCTGACATAATGATGGTGACATCAGTTATTTAAAAGAGTAATTGTTTATGTAAAATTTTGTTTATATGAATGTAAATGGGGTATTTATCCTCAGTTTATGTGAGGTGTAATCTGCATTTAACCCAGAGTGCATTTAATATTTCTATGAAAGGACATTCTTTGATTATATTTAAATAAGGAAAGATAGTCACTAAATTTTGTTAAAATACATGGTATTTTTTTTAAACATTCCTGTCCAGTGTTTATCTATATATTATTACTTTACTTATATTGTAAAATGAGGTTAAAATGTGTAAACACTGAATTCTAAATCTTTTCAGGATCAGCTGAGATGTTGTTTTTCCTGAATTATTTAATGGATATAGGCTTATTGGGCATATAATTGGATATCTGGTAAGTCTGTATTGTTTTTGTTTACATTTCCTATGAAGGTCATCTTTGCATTTAAGCATGATTATATGGTTTAATCTAATAACTGTGTAATACTGATGTGATCTAATATCTCTAACATTCACATAAGCAAAGTCTTATTTAGCCTAAAATATACTAAGGAATCTTCAGAATGTTAATAAGTCCTGTTCCATGCATTGTGATATAATTTCATAATTCATTATGTCAGTTACCCATGGAATTCAGACTTACCAAATTCTGATCTATAAGGAATGTAATGAAAGAAAAAGTAAGAATCTACAAAAGGTTTATCCTTGTTTAGATTTTAAATATGTGCTATTTATGGCATATATAATCCTTTCATTTTCATTGTTGTTTCTTAGTAATGAGCTTTTCAAAAAATGTAGGACTACATGTTTGTATATGTTTTTTTTTTTTTGTATACTGTACTGACAGGTATTAAACAAAATTGAATATGCTGTTAAGAGAAAGTCTGTTAGTGTCTAAACATTACTCTGATAATCATTTTTATTTGTGAGATTTATACAGTAACTATACTTTTTTGTTATCTAAAGATTACATGATAATCATTTAAATGTGGAAACAATTTTTTTTTAGTAATTATTAAATACAAATATCATGAACTTTTTAACACTGTATTTAACATGTATTGTTTCATGTAGTATTGTGTCACATTTAAAAATGGTTCTACAGTCATCAACATGGAAGATAAATGTTTTGTTCCTATACTCAAGAAAAAATCATGATCTTTTTTTTTTTTGGCATTGTATTTAAACATGCACTGTTTCGTGCAGTACTGTGTCATAATAACAAAATGATTTTATTTTCTGCAGTCCTCAACATGGAAGATATGGTTTATTCCTACCCATCTATAATCAATTCTCTATGAAGTTCAGCCTGTCTGCCCTTCCTTTAGAAATACACAGTCAGTCAACCAACATAGAAACAAACTTGAAGGTAAAGTTGCAATGAGATATCCAATCCTAATTTTCATTTTTTTTTTTTTACATATGCTTGATTATATTTTAAAATTGATTGAATTGATAAGTAATTATATGATAAATGATATGATTTTTTTTAAATTATGAGGGCTTGGTTGTCATAGCCATTTTTAGACTATATTGATCTCCTTTATGAGAAGAAGAGCTCCATCTAAATATATACAAAAATGATCAAATTGTGAAACTAAAATTTATGAAATTTTTCTTTGCCAAATGATAGTTAACAGCTGAAGATATCTAAACAGATTTCTTAAAAATAAGTTGTACCAGGTGGTCAATTTATTGACCCTCAGCTTTCTTAAAAGCATAGTTTGTAAAGATTTCAAGTTTTCTCTCCAAGTGCTTATGAATTCTGAATTTTTCATTTAATATTGACATTATATTTACAGGGAAAGAATACTACAACGTGGCTCCTCAGGATCAACAGTGAAAAATCTTAATCAATAATGACCCTCCTGACTATGTTTACAGGCTGTAACCTTTATTGCTGATGTAAGATGATCTGATTGCATGGCATTAAAATTTCCTGGTGTTTCTACCATCCAGGATCTTCTTATGAGTGCATGGGAACTGCTGTGGACCTTAACCTGTTTATAAAAATATACCTTCGAGCATGACATATTATTCATGTAAGGTACTTTCAATATCATTTCTATGAGTTTTTGTTCTTTCTTTTAATAATCTAGTAATGAATTCAAGTGTTTTGTTTTACCTTACATCACTGAATTTGTATGCTTCCAACATCTCAGATCTGTTTATATGTTTATTTCTCTTTGTTTTTCTGAACACAAAACCCTGACACAATTTTTTAAGGTAAACAACATGGTGAGACATCTGACACAAAGGATAATCAGAGTGTATATCACAATCTTGACTATAAGGTCAATTTATAACAAATGCACAACAAATGAAAGTGAAAACTTTTTTTTTTATCAGAGAACATAATTTTGTAGTTAAACAAACACTGGCAAGTTACTCTCAAAATGAGCCTTAATGTCTTCTAAAACTTTAGTTAAGAGTTTCTCCATTAATCCTCAGGTCTCTTCTCCTCTGTGGAGTTAAAATCATGTGTTTTTAACAATTTTTTTTTTTTTTGCTGACAACTGTTTTCTCTTATTATCTATAAACTTGACTTCTTCTCTAGTCAAAGGTCTTTCAGGGTAATCCAGGTAATCCTTACCCTCTTTTGGTAACTAATGATTATATTTTTCATAGGCTTCTTCTGCAATCAAGGGTCTGTCTATGTAATCTATGACATCACAAGGCCCATCCATTGTGGGGATAATTAGCTATATTCTTCATGAGAAATGATCTGAATAATGTCATCTCTTTTTATTTTAATTGGTAAACCTCGTTCTACATCTTTCTCTGTAAGAACTCTCTTACCAAACTGAATTTTACTCATTCCTTTATTCTTTTCTTTTACTAAAGCTGTTACTACCCATAGTTTTTAAAAGTCAAAATCTGACTGTGTTTATATCCCTTTTTGTCTATGTTTAAAATTCTATTAAGCTTATATTGCATATCAATTTTTCAACTAATAACTTTTTTTCTTTCAAGGATTCTCAAAGGGGAACTCAGTAAATTATGCACAGACTAACAGAATACAGTATATCCTCTCCTAGAACACTGATACAAGAAAATAAAACCAGAGATGGATGGAGGACTCAAGAAGCACATGAATAAATATGATTTCAAACTATGATGATCATGAATTGTGGTTCACAGGATAAGAAAGAAAGGACCCAGGATTGTGCATTTTTCTAGATCCTCTCCCATTCATATCCTTCATATGCTGGCATACAAAACAATAGATAAATTGTAGTCATTTAACAGACTGAAGTTTAATCAAATCAAAGTATTGAAAATGTGTTTTTCTGATAGTATGAGATCTTCAAAAAATAATTCTCACAGATTTCAAAGTATCTAAATATAACTTTTAATTTATGTAGTACAAATTGAAAACAGTTGTTATATATGACTTTAATACATTGAATCCTTAATTTTCATCTTATATCTACAACACCCCTAGAAAATACACAGATATTCAGAAGCTAGCTTTGGTGTATTTATTACTTTCCTTGAATTGTAAAAGCATTTTGTTTGTGTATGTATCATGTCCTATTTTGAATTTAAGATAGGTCTCAATAAGATCCCCTATAAAGATGCAAGTGTCCCATAATCTGTGATTTAATAATATCTTGAATATCTTTATCATCCATCATACTTATTACATATGGAAAGATTGAAGGTATACATTTGTTTTTTAAGACATTTTGCCAAGGTCAAAGCATGAGATTATTGAGATGATTACTTTGACATTAATTTTCTCCTGGGTAAAGTTAGTTACTGAGATTACTGATATGAGTCTTGAAATGCAATAACTTCAAAATTGTGTGATAACTTATAGACTTTATAAAATTAAGCGTAAATTCTTAGGAAAGAATTAGAATATTAATCAAATGTCCAAGGGTGTTTATTTAACTATTTTTATGTAATATCTTGGGTTTCTGGAAAAATCTTCACTACATAGATAAAGAACGGATTAATATCTATATATTGTGAACTATGATGAAGAAAAAAAAAAGCTCTCCCCTTTCATGTTCTTCATATTCTGTCATACACAACAATAGCTAAATTGTAGTAATTCAACAAACTGAGGTCAAATCAAAGAATTGATATTAAGATTTTCTGATAGTATGAGATCTTCAAAAATCTAATTTCCACGGACTTCAAAATATCTAAATATAACTTTTTATTTGTCCAATTTAAATTGAAGACAGTTGTTATGTATGGTTTTTATACATTGGATCCTTTATTTTCCATCTAATTTCTACAACCCCCTAAAAATGACACAGATATTCAGAAGCTAGCTTTGGTGTAATTTTTTTCTTTCCTGGAACTATAAATACATTTTATTTAGAATGTGTTTGTCCTATTTTGAATTTAATAGGTCTCAATAAGACCCACCATAAAGATGCAGGTGTCCTATAATTGTGATATGTTGAATATTTTTATCATTCCATAAACTTTATACTTACTACACATACAGCTCAACAAACTTTTTAACCTCACATCGTTTTTCGCACAAATTAAGGTCACATTTTTATAATGTAAAAGTTTGTATTGAGACATCAAAATACATTTTAAAAGCCTTTATTTACATTATTTCAGTTTAATTTCATTTACCAAAACATAATTCATACAAATCAATTGCTAGAACTTTGATATATTCTTGGTTGAAAAATAACAACTATTTCCATTTGATTTTTTTTTTGTTTTTTGCCAATTGCAGCTGTCTTTTTGTCCGTTCTTTTGAAAGCAGTAGCTCTTTGCATATACATAGAGACGGGCACAGTACAGCTACTGTAACTTGTATTTTCTGTACATTCTGACTCTTTAGCACAGGGTGATAATAGTATTTTTCATCTGTTTTACTGCTTTGTATGTAAATAAGGTGGCATTTTTCGGAGTCACTTTCTAAAATCTAGAATCATGAAAGATTCACCCCACACCAAAATTTTAACGTTTCAAACTGTAAATGCATAAGAATTTTCCTTTTCATAGAAAAAAAAATTACTATTTAAAAAAATAAACAATACTTCATTATCCTACCTTGTAGTATAGTTTCTTTCTTCAATGTTATCCCTTATCGGTACTACTTTTCGACAAAACCCAGATGAGTATGGTAAATGAGCAAAGAATTTTAAAAAAATACTCACCTTTAAGAAGAAATTTTTTAATTTTCAACTATATTGTATCAAAGAAAGCACGTTTTATATTATTTGTAAATAACCTATAATAGAGGCCTATAGTAGAAACATCGTACCATTTATTGATAAATTCCCCTCTGAAACATCCACTTTGGAAACTTAAGATAATACTTTCAAAAGGCATTTATACTTGACATTATATATGTAATATATATAGGGCCATGTCATCGTTCTGAGGTTCGAAAATAGTAATTTTTATTATTAAAATGTGACCTTAATTTGTGCGAAAAACGATGTGAGCTTAAAAAGTTTGTTGAGCTGTATAGTGTTTGGAGTAATACACTTAGTTGTATGGGACAATGTTCAAGGTCAAAGCATGAGATTATTGAGATAACTACCTTTGTCAATAATTTGTAACCTTCAAACTTCACATTCTTAAGTGAAGAATGGATAGGAGATTTTCTATAGATTTTTGGATCATTTCCCTACAGGATAAAAGTAATTTAATAATATTACTGACTTGAAACATTTCATTATAACCTAGAGACCATATCTGCTATGTTAGGTGGCATGGCATATTCTTTGGAAAGAATTGAAATGTTATATTCAAATGTACAAAGTTCAATGGTGTTTTAAAGACTATAACCAAGTTATACCTTAGAATTCTGTAAAAATCTTATCACTGCATAGAATAAATACTGGTTGGAATAATATATGTTTTCAACTAAGGTCAAGGAAAAAAAAGGTCAAGACTGTGGAATGATATGACTTTTATTCAAGCGGTGCAGTACAACAACTCTGGTGATTTACATACCTTCAGTCATAAATAGATACATGTAGGCATGGGATAGACTCCTATAGATTTTGAGATTATCATTCAAAAGTATAGAAAGGTTTTAAGTTTGAATGATTCAATGGCAGCATATCATTTGCTTGTAAGTTTAAAAACAAATCCAAACATATACATCTTTGGATGATAACTGTTGAATTTAAGTTGAATTTAGTTGAATTAGTTTCTTTTTGGCATGTGAAAATGACATCACCCAATTTGAAAGAAGTTCATCTACATTTTATTTGTAGGAGAGAATGAATTTTCATCACAGGGAAAGAAAGAGATTGTCTTGTGTAATATAATACAGCGGTACACAAAAATATATTTCAATTTCTAACAGGTTTCATTTTTGTTTATATGGAATGCTAAGTTATGTTGATTTCACTTTTTCCTACCAAAGACATACTAGTAGAGTAGTAAATGTACATGAATTGTCAGAAAAGCATGTGGAAACCTGATGACTTTATCATTTCTGATTAAATCAAATTATGAGTTTCATCTTTGTTACATTGCAATAATTCCGAAATAGGGCACACACCAGAAATTCTTAAAATGATATCTACTGTCCTATCTGAGCATCAGGGTTTAACAGTACATAACTATTCCAAATGATTTTGGACGCTTTTTATGTATCAAAAAGACAAAACAGAATACTTGTTCACAAATGTTCCAAAGGAAAACAACCACAAAGAAATGATTTGATATGTTCTTTAATTGATTCATGTAAAATGTATTTTAAAAAGTGTACTCTAACATTTGTCTTTTGCATAGATAATTTTTTTTGTGGAGAATTTTTCATAACATTGAAAAAGTAGTATTATTGTGTAATATGGTTAGCTAAAAATCTTGTAGACTTTTAAAGTTGTACATATGACCTGTTACACATCTTACATATGTAAGCATTTCATTTCAGGGTATTCAGCATATATTGTGCTTTTGTCTTAATTTTGTTTGCTTATGTAATCAATAATTTGAGAATACTCAAATTAGAAAATGTATGAGAGAATATATAGGCAAGAAAATGAGGTTAAAATGTTTTTACTACAAAGGGGTTAATCTATATATTTAATCTATAAGTACATTCAGTCTATACAATTAAGGTATTTCTGTATGAAATAAACTTGCATTTGAGCATTTAAGACAATTGTAAACATTACTTTAACCAGTTTTAAAAAATGATTAGATTCACTGTCAGCATGTTATTTCTCGTAAAATAAATGAGAAAACAAACATTTTTATTTGAGTCATTTTTTTTTAATTGTAAATAAGAAGCAATGGAAGTTGAGAATATTTTACAATGTTGATTGAGCATAATTCTCACTAAGACAGTTGGAGTATTATGATTTTAGCCTCAGAGAAACCATTTTAAATTTCAATATACAAATCATGTTTAGTCATGCAGTATATAGTTTACACTTGCCAAAAAGTAAATGGTATCTCTATTCAGGGTCAATCCAAAGGAATGAAAACAATGTTTCTTTTTATGTATCAAACTTAAAGGTTTTGTTGCAATAATTTCACTGTGTTCATTTTCTGTTTTCTTTCTATGTGTGGATAACCCTAACCTTGGCAATCAAAATACAGGAAATTAATCAATTATGTCAAATGATGAAGGTGCACACCAGAAAATTACATGAACTGAACAGAGAATTCTGAGTTTCCCTCAAATATGGTCGCCAAGTGATGTGAAATAAAAACAAAATGTGGATCCATCTTATGATTGAGACTTGTACATATTATGAATGATGGATACTATGACATTTAGAATGATATTACATTGATTCAATTATATGCTTAATCCATACAATCAGAAGGGAGGAAATATTTTTCTTTACGGGCATAAAGTAAGAAACACTCATCCAATTTATCAGAATTTTACTCTTTGTAGAAAAGGAACCTTATTTGCTTGCATTGTTGAGATGACATTCCTATTTTGTCTTTGGTAGGTACACTAATGGTTTCCATGACTATAATGAGAACTTTTTATTTAAGAGTCCTCAGATTGTCCTGATATTTTGGTTAAAATAACTGCATGACATCAAATAATTTGTTCATACAAAGGAATAAAATCATTTTCCAGGTTTATTCTTTAGTCAGATTAAATAGTGTCCAACTAATATATTCAAAATATAATACAAGGTACTCATCCAAGTTACACAATGGTAAATAAAATGTCCTTATTAAGGTTTTAGTCAAAAGATCAAAGTGAGAAGGACATCTGGTATATTTGATAGTTTGGTTAATATTCATCAAACTTCATGGATAGGCTAATTAAACAAGCTTCATAAATTTAGATTTTCAGGTCAAAGATCAGCACAATTTTTGCTTTACCATTGTTGTCCATGAATATCTAAACAACTCTATTGATTTTTCAGGTTAAAGGTCAATGTGTTCCTACTTCAGTAAAACTTTATTAGAATATCAGAGTGATTTGTTTATTTGTTAAAAATTAGTTATAAAATCTCCCACTCTTTCTGTAATATATCCGTGAATGTACTCCTTAATTTTAAAGAATTTTACAAGCAAATCATATACTGACTTTCAATCCTTCAAAACACAATATAAATGGAATCTTGATATTAAGACTTTTAGACTTTTAGGCTTTTAGACTTTTAGGATTTCAATCTTAAAAACTTTCAGACTTTCAATCTTTAAAAAACTTTCAATCTTGAGGACTGAGTATTTTTAATATTCATTTTGTATGTCTTGTCTTTTATGTCATTACCATTAATCCTTAGTAATTCAAACTTTTCATATATGTTATACCAGAGTGTGAA